AAAAAAAAAAAAAAAAAAAAAAGAAATTTACAGACTGAAAATCAAAGGATAGAAAACAATACTCCATGAGTCAAGAATGTGAAAATAAACAGGGGTAGCTAGTCTATTTACAGCAAGGACTGATTAAGAGACAAAGAAGGTCATTACTTGCTTATAAAGAGAACAATGCAAAAGGAAGAGATAACAATTATAAATACATATGCACCAAATACCAGCACATCCAACTATGTAAAATATGTGTGTGTGTGTATGTGTGTACACATACACACATACACACACACACACACACACACACATGTTTTTTGTTTTTTTTTTTTGGACTGGGGATCGAACTTGGGTCCTTGTGCTTGCAAGGCAGGCAGCAGAACCACTGAGCTAAATCCCCAGACCTACGTAAAACAAATATTGATGGGCATGAAAAACCAAACAAACACTAGTACAATTGTAATGGGGACCCTCAATACTTGTCATAAATAGACTGAATAGACAAAAAAAAAATCAACAAAAAAAATAAAAACTGAATCAAACTTTTCAACAAACAGAATTTGTAGATGTCTAAAGAGGGTTCCAACCTACAATATCAGAATATACATTCTTCTCAGCATCAGAGAGAATATTCTCCAAAATAGACCACATACTAACTCATAGAATGTGCTTAAGTATTGTGGACCCTTGACTTACGAACTCAATCTGTTCTGGACGGCTGGTTGCAACCCAAGTTGGGTATAAGTCGATACAGCTGAGACCTGGGTACATGCTATAGATAACAAGAGGCAAATGAATCTTCTATTAACCTAATTAACTCAAGTTGATTGTATGTCAGGCCAGTCATAACTTAAGAGTCCACTGTAAATACAAAGGAATTAAAATTACCCCACGCATATTATCAGACCATAGTGCAATGAATTGGAAATCAATAGCAAAAGAAATCACAGAAAACTGCATAAACACATGGAAATTAAATAACACACTCCCAAACAACCTATGGATGACAGATGAAATGAAAGCAGAAATTAGACAAGTTTCTACCAGTAAATGATAATGCTAATACAACATACTGGAACTTAAGGGATGCAGTGAAAGCATTCCTATGAGGTAACCACCTTATCTTTGACAAAGGAGCCAAACACCTTCACTGGAAGAAAGATAGCCTCTTTAATAAGTGGTGCTGGGAAAACTGGCTTTCCACATGCCAAAGAATGAAACTACACTCATGTCTTTAACCACACACTAAAATTGAAATGGGTCAAAGATCTAAATAGTAAAACAGAAACAATAAATCTGCTCTAAGCGATGATAGGTAGAATGCTTGAGGATATAGGAGTAGGCAAAGACTTTATGGACAAAACCCAGACTGCATGGGAAATACAAATGATCAACAACTGGGACCTTATCTTATTAAAAAGCTTTTGCAAACCGGGCGTGGTAGCACAGGCCTGTAATCCCAGCACTCAGGAGGCTGAGGCAGGAGGATAGCTGTGAGTTTGAGACCAGCTTGGGTTACATAGTGAGTTAAAAAAAAAAAAAAAAGCTTTTGCACACCAAGATAAACCACCAAGAGAGTGAAGAGACAACCCAACCCACAATGTGGGAAAAAATTTTGCCAAAATTTTGTCCTTCGATAAAGGACTATTATCTAGAATATATTAATTCAAAAAAAAAACCAAAAAAAACACCAGACCCCTGCAAATGTAAAGACCCAGTGAAAAAATACAAAGACACTTCTCAGATGAAGAAGTAGAAATAGCAAAAAAAAAAAAAAAAAAAATTATATATATATGTAAATGTGTTCAACATCACTGGTCTTTTGTGAAATGCAAATTAAAACAAAGCTGAGATTCCATCTCACTCCAGAAAGAATGGCTGCTATTAAGAAACCAACCAATAACAAATGCTAAAGAGGCTATGGGGGAAATGAAGTCCTTCACTGTTGGTGGGAGTGTAGACTGGTGCAACCACTATGAAAATCAGTGTGGAAATTTCTCAAAGAAGTGAAACTAGAGGTTCCTTTGACGCAGCTACACTTTTTCTTGGTAACTTCCTGAAAGAATTAAAAGCATCACACCACAGTGATAAATGCACACCCATGTTTATAGCAGCACAGTATGTAACAGCTAAATCTTGAAAACAGCCCAAATGCCCATCAACTGACAAGGGGATAAAGAAGATGTGGTAATTTTATACATTGGAGTACTACTCTGCCATAAAGAAGGATGTGCTTCAGACATTTATAGCTAAATAGATGCACTTTGAGACCATACTCTTAAGTGACATAAATCGGACACACGTGTTTAAATACCACATTGTTTTTCTGGTGTGAGACACTGAAAGTGGAAATAGGAACTGAAATGTATGGGATGGATGTTGGGAAATGGGAAGAAATGGGAAGGGAGACAAGGGAGGAGGGAAGGAGAAAGGAAGGGACAAAGAAAAAAAGTAAGAATAGAAGGAAAAAATGGAAACAAAGTTTTTGTACATAGGGAGGGGAGAGGTTGAGGAAGGGAAAGGGATAAAATAAAATTTATTTTAAAAAGTAGCATCCAAAAAAAGAGATACCTAGGAATCAATCTAACAAAGCAAGTAAAAAACCTTTACAAGAAAAGCTATAGTACTCTAAAAAAGGATATCAAAGAGAATATCATAAAATGGAAAGCTATCCCTTATTTTGGGGTAGGAAGACCAAATATAGTGAAAATAGCCACACTTCCAAAATTGTTATTTCGATTTAATGCAATCCCAATCAAAATACCAATTGCATATCTCACAAAATTAGAGAAAAAAATTATAAAATTCATCTGAAATCAGAAGAGACCTAGAATAAAAGCAATTATTTGCAACAAAGGCAAGGCAGGGGGCATCACAATCCCTGACTTGAAATTGTACAACAAAGCTACTGGATAAAAACAGCATGATGGTACTGGAAAACAAAACAAAAAACAGACCCGAAAATCAATGGAATGTATTAGAAGATGAAGAAATAACTCCAAAAACACTCAGCAATCCTATCTTTGAAAAAGGAACTGTCTTAGTTACTTTTCTGTCATTGCTAAGACAAATACCCAACACCCAAAATTAAAAGGGGAAAGTTTTATTTAGTTCACAGTTTGTAGAAATTTCAGTCCATAATTCGCTAGCTCCAAGGCAGAGGAACACTTCAAGGCTGACACAAGGCATCAAAACAATCAAGGGACCTTACAGTGTCTCTCTGCCTTTTATCTTATCCAGCCCAGGGCAGGAAGCACTCACACCTTTAATCCTAGTGCCCTTGAGCCCAGCATTGCATTATGAATCAATTCCAGCATCACACACTTCAAATCCAGCCACCTCTGGAAAAAACCCGACCTATCACTGAGGTAGGGATATCACATGAGGATCTGGGGAAACATCTAGATACAAGCCATAACAGGAGTCAAACACCTTCACTGGAAGAAAGATAGCCTCTTTAATAAATGGTGCTGGAAAACTGACTTTCCACATACCAAATATTAAAACTAGACTTGTATCTTTCACCATGCACTAAACTAAAATCGAAACGATCAAAGATTTAAATATTAAAACAGAAACACTAAATATCCTGGGAGATAGAATAGGGAGAACTCTTGAAGACATTGGTAGATTTTATATACAAAACCCCAAAGGCACAAGAAATACCACAAAGAGTCAACCAGGATCTCATTTTTTAAAAATGCTTTTGCACAGCAAGAGAAACCACCAACAGAGCGAAGTGACAATTCATGGAGTGGGAAAAAAATTTTGCCAGCTGTTCCTCAGACAAAGGACTAATATCTACAATATATAAACTCAAAAAGATCAGAGCCCTCAAATTTAACAATTTAATTCCAAAACTGGCATCTGAAATGAATAAATACTTCTCAGATGAAGTAGAAACAGCAAATAAATATATTTTAAAATGTTGAACATCATTCGGTAGATGCAAATTAAAACAATGCTGAGATGCCATCTTACTCCAGAAAGAATGGTTATTATGAAGAAATCATCCAACAACAAATACTGTTGGGGTTAAGGAGAAAAAGGAATCCTTCTTCAGTGTTGGTGGGGGTATAGACTGGTGCCACAACTATGGAATTAGTGTAAAGATTCCTCAAAAAACTAAAACTAGAGGTTCCATTTGACCCAGCTATTCCCCTTCCAGGTATCTTCCTGAAACAATTAAAAGAATCATACTGTAGCGATATATGCACACCCATGTGTATAGTGGCACAGTTTGTAATAGATAAATCTTGGAAAGAGCCCAAATGCCCATCAAGGGATGAATGGATAAAGACAAGGTTTTTTTGGTTTTTTTAATACAAAGGATTACTCCTCTGTCATAAAGGATAAGCTTGAGACATTTATAGCTAAATGAATATACATTGAGACCATACTCTTAAGTGAAATAAATTAGACACACGTTTAAATATACCACAGTGCTTCTCCACTGTAACAAACCAAAACTGTAAATAAGGACCAAAATATATAACCAATATTGGGAAATGGGAAGAAAATGTTCAAATGGGGAAAGGAAGACAGGGACAAGGAAAAAAAAAAAAGAGAACAGAAGGGAAAATGGAAACAAAGCTTTTGTAAATAAGAAAGGGAAGAGGGGTAAGAGGGGAGGGGAAGAGAAAAATAAAGGAACATATATCACGTACAGGTACAAATTCCCTATGATGACTGTTATCACTATGTATATCAAAATGTACTAATTAAAAAAAAGACTTGGGGCAATTCACTTGTGACCCCTCCTGTCTATCAGGCGGTATTTCTGTTCCCAAATAAACCTTTCCTACTCTTAAAGACAAACAACAGCAAAAGTAACACTAGTGGTTAGGTGGGATTCTGAGATTTAGGCAAAAAAGTACATTTCAGGATGACTACATAGGAGTAAAGGACAGCACTATACCTGTACGCACACTTTCCATCAGCTGTTTTGGTTGTAATGGTAACGTGAGCCACGTGGCTTATGCTGGCCAACGCCTAGGGAAGAAAATGAAATAGAATGAAATAAAACAAATTGCTGAGTAAAAAGTCACCTAAACTGCCTTTTCCATTTTGTATTAAGATGTGGCAACAGTGAATACTTTAGTGATATGTTTAAAAAAGGATATAAAATTGAATCTGCAGCGTAATCACAGAAAAAAATATATTTAAAAGTCCAATTGTATTAACAGCAATTGTATTCAGGTGATAGAATTATAGCCTTCCATTACTGTTGCAAATACCTGAGACAATCAACTTATAAAGGAAAAGGTTTATTTTGGCTCAGTTTCAGAGCTCAGTCCATGATCATCTGGTCCCATTGCTTTTGGGCTTGTTCTGAGGCAGCACATCATGGTGAGGAACACATGGGTGAGCAAAAGCACACACCTCGTGGGATGCCAAAAGACAGAAAAGAAGAGGAAGAGATGCCTAGCCCCTTAAAGGACACAGTCCCCAATGACCTGAAGGCCATCCACTAGACCTCACTTCTTAAGGTTTCTATCTCCCTCCAACAGCACCAAGCTGTGAGACCAAGGTATTAATACACAAGCATACTAGGAACATTCAAGATCCAAGTGATAGCAGGCATGCTTAACATAATGAATGACATATTCTTCAATAATTTTAAATTTCTGCTTTCAGAAACAGATAATGGAATTATTGCAAATATGTGATGATATCAACTGTACTCAAAACTTTTACATAAGCAATTATAAATGTAGAATTAAAAATTAAAATTATTCAATTAAAACAAATTTCAAAAACTTATGACCCTTTTTACCCCTTATAACCAAAACTGGTTTCCTAGTCCTCTGGAATCTGTATCTCTTTTCACAAAAAGGACATCATCATCAGTATGTAAACATGCAACACAGGAGCTGGGCTGTAATGTGGTCTGTGTGACAGCATTATACAGCTGAGGCAGGTTCAGTTCATTACAAGGAACTTGGTTCAAGAGGCTGAGACAGGAAGACTGCTTGAGCAAGCACAGGAATTAGAGACTAACCTCAGCAAGAGACCTTGTTTCAAAAACAAAAACCATGGTTCAGGCTCAAAAATTACTTGGACTTAGCTAAATTTCCCTGGTTTATGTAATTTTCATAAAAAAATGCAAATAATTTTAAGACCTGTGTAGGGATGGACATTAAAAATGCACATTGGTACAACAGTACCTAACACCAGAAAGAGTGCCACTATGCATGGCACAGATGACCCTGGTATTTCAACAGGGCTTTTCTAGTGGAACAAAGGGGGAGGAGCTCAGAGTGAAGTCAGAGTACCTAAGTCAATCCTTCTCTACTACTTTCTAGGTGTATGCCCTGACTGTGTTCTTAGTCACTATGACTCAGTTTGCTCATGTAAAACAGGGCAATGGTACAATCTACTCTGTGTGGCTACTGTTGGCACTAACAAGTAACATATACATACATAACTTATGTACCTAGCACTAAGAATCACAGATAGCACAAAGCAATTCCTTAAAAAATCTTCCCTGACTAGTTACAAATAATAATGCTAAAGATGTTCCACAGTTAGGCTAAGGCTCAAGGAGACCATGGGATTGAAAACTGACACTTGGGAGTTGCAAAGTCAGGAAAAAACTGTAACTTGAGGCGTGTTAGGGTAAAAGCATCCCTATCAGAAACAATATGGAGGTCAATGTAAGAGAGTGCCTGAGACCATCTTGGTTTGATCTAAGTCGTCCTAAATTACAGATATTAGATCAGAGCTGCCTTTTAGTTTTTAAAAATTAAAGTAATACATAAATTTAAAAACAACAAAAGAGAAAGGCCTAAAATGAAAAGTAACAGGCTTCTTTCCTCTCCCCTACCTTTATTCTCATTTCCTCAAAATAATTAAATTGTTTCTCTTATCCCCTAGATCAGAGGATCCCACTTTAGTCTCCAGAATGGAAAAGACCCCTGTCAAAACCTTGATTTCAGCCCAATGAGACCCACGTCTTCTGATCTTAAGAACTTTAAACCATTAATTTTATGGTAATTCAGGGACAAGCAGTAAAAAACTACTACTAAAATTTTTAAAAACATGTATATTTTTACTTTATTAAATTTATCCTAAGGAAATAACAAAACAGTGTATGTATAAGATTATTCATCAGAACGTTAAATGGGAAAAAAATGGCAAAGCCTAAATGTTTAAAAGGTAATCACTTGAAGAAACTCCATATAGTACATTCTTCATAACAGAATAGTATGTATCCATTAAAAACTATGTAGGCCTACCTTTGTTAGACGGAAAGGTAGCCACAGGAATTAAGTCATAAAAATAGAGGATCCCACTTTAGTCTCAAAAGTATTTTTTTCTATTTTCTATATCATATAGTTCTATAATAATTTTATCCACAAATATTTCAATACAGTATCTTAAAATAATTTTTTTTTTTTAAACTCCACAGTATTTTTTTGTTCATTATTGAGGATTGAATCCTCAAGGCTAAATTGCCAAGGCCAGTGATCTTCCTGCCTCAGCCTTCCATGTTGCTGGGAATAATGGTATGCACCACACACTAAAGTATTTTTTGTAATCAAGAAAAGTAATAATTTATACTAAATACCATCAAATAGCCAATCTGTGTTTAGCATCTTTAGCTCATTTTTTTTTAAAATAATTCACTCAAATTAGGATCTAGGAAAGATATGGCAAATGAAGTTCATTCACAGTTTTGTTTTGTTTTGTTTTTCTTGTGGTCCTAGAGCTTGAAAATTGTGAGCCAATATCTTTTTTTTTTTTCTTTTTTTTTGGTACCGGGAATCGAACTCTGATCTTTGAGCTTGCAAGGCAGGCGGCAGAACCACTGAGCTAAATCCCTGGCCCCAAGATCTTTTTAAGTTGCTAAGTTTACCAGGCTGGACTTGAATTTGCAACCTTCTTGTCTCAAGCCTTCCGGTGCTGGGATTACAAGCATGTGCCACCATGTTCAACTTCACAGGTCTCTTAAACCTCCTTTGTTCTATAGGTTCTTGTTTCCTTCTCTACCGTTTTTTACCCCTGTAGCTTATGTTCAAAGTCTTTTGTCCTGTAGTTTTCTGAGTATGTAGCATTTACTACCCTTGCTTGTCCCCTGTAGTTTCCAAATGTTGGTATTTAGATCTATACACTGACTAGATAATTCACCTTTGTTTTTTTTTTTTGGCCAAAAAAGCTACATAGATGGTGTTCGGTACACACAACATATAATAACCAGTGTTTAAAATAGTTTATGTTGGTATTAAGTACTGATGAATAAGTCATAGCCTTGGAGAGCTAAATTAAATTAAGCTAAAACTTGCATATACAGTGGTACTTTGTTTTACAAACTTAATTTTTCCATGATTTTGGTTGCAAAATTTTTCCACAGTTGCAACCAGAATTGTGGAAAGAATCAAGTTTGTGAACCGAGGCACCACTGTATATACATATTTATGATTCAGGAACACTTTTGTTTGCAAACAATTTGGTTCGCAAACAAGTTTTTGGCAAAATTTTGTATTTGTTTGCACACTCTGCATTGGGTGACAAACACAACTGTGGTCATCTTTCTCACACAAACACAAATGTAGCCATTTTTTCCAAAACTGTTGAACAAATTAAGTTTGAGAACTGAGGTACCACTGTATTTAACAAGTAAAAAATAGCAAATCTGGGTTTGTTTTTTGGTTTTGTTTTTTTGAGACAGGGTCTCACTGTGTAATTCAGGTTGGCCTTCAACTCACTAAGTATCCCAGACTTGCCTTGAACTTGCTGCTATCCTCCTGCTTCACCCTCCCAAGTGCTGCAACACTATGACTGGCAAAAATTACAAATCTTATTTACCTCTGTTGAGAACTATATGTTGACAAATGACTGACAACGTCATCAGCAAGATGATTTACATATTTCTTTAAACTTCAGCTTACCTCACCCCGAAAGCCATAAGTAGAAATACTGGCTAAATCCTCAAAGGACTGCAGTTTACTTGTTGTGAACCTCTCACACACAATATCCAGATCTTCTTTCTAGTAGATACAAAAAAATTAGTAAATAATTATGTTACTCACTTTTCCAATTCTTTTTGAATTTAACTGATTTAATCCAGTAAGAAATCCCCCTTAGAAGAGTTTTTAAATCAGCAGTAACTTCCTTACTTGGTGTCCAGAACACTACACTGCCCTGACATCCCCCTTTCTTACTAGGTTGTTCCTTTTCAGTATCATTTGTTGCTTCCACCTCATGCTCCCATCTCCTGACACTAGAGTCACCCAGGATTCCCTACCCTTAGACCACTGCTGCCTATATTCATGCTCTTGATAATTTCATTCAGTCTCATGACCTCTTTCAAAAATTAGAAAATATTAATTTAAGTCTACAGATAACTCTTTATTTTTATTTTTTGTGGTATTGGGGATCAAACCTAGGGCCTCATCCAGGCTCATTTTTGAGACAAGGTCTCAACTGTATTGCCCAGGGTGCCTCAAACTTGTAATCTTCTTGTATCAGTCTCCTGAGTAGCAGAATTACTAGGGTGTACTACCTTCTCCAGCTAGATAACTTTTTAAATTATAGTAAAAGGCATATAAAACTTTCTTTTAACTATTTTAAGTGTTACAGTTCAGTGGCATTAATTACATTACCATTATTGTGCAACCATCATTAACATTCATGTCTAAAACGTTTTCATCTTCCCCAAATTGAATCCCTATATCCATTAAATAGTAACTCTTTATCCCTTCTCAGACCCCAGTCCCTGGCAATCATCATTCTACTTTCTACATTCTATGCCATATAACAGGAATCATATATTTGTCCTTTAAAAAAACAAAAATTACTTCACTTCACATCTTAAATAGCCACCTTAAATTTAACAGGCCCCCAGATGAACTTCCTATCCTCCCCCAAATGTGTTTCTTCCATAATCTTTTCTCTCAGTAAGGTAACATTTTTTTTTTCCATTTACAAGGCCAAAACCTTGAAATCATTCCTTCTCTCACAGTCTGTATCAGCAAGTTCTGAGAGCTTCTGCCTTCATAATTGACTCAGAATCTTACTGTTTCTTCATTTTACTACAATCAAACTCATTCAAGGCAGCACTGCCATTCCTGAACTGTTTCAAGAGCCTCCTAATGCTTCCACTCTGTTCTGGTACAATCTATTTTCCACAAAGCAGAAAAAGGACTTTTTCTAAAACTCACCAAATCATATAGCATCACTTTGCTTAAAATCCTCTAGTTGTATCCTATCAGAGTCTCTGAAAAGCCAAAACTTTCACCATTGGCCCTAAAGGTCCAGCATGTTTTCCCCCAGATCTCACCTCCTGTTACTCTTCCCTTGCTCATTCTGCTCTTGACACACTCGCCTTCTTGCTGATCATTAAATGTGTCAGGCATGTTTCTTTTGCACAGTCTTTCTTTTTAGTCTCTCTGCCCAGAACACTCATTCTTTTAAGGTTCATGACTTGCTTTTTGATCTCTATCAGGTCCCTCCTTAAATATCACATCCATATTAAAGCCTTCCTAAACCATTCAACTTTAATTGTCTCACTTCTGACTCCTATCTTCCCCCTTGCTCTAGTTTTCTCCACAGTATTCAACACCATGTGATATACTACAGTATTTATTGTACCTGCTGAATGTTTGCTCCCTACTACTACAATGGAAGCACCAGCAGAGAAAGTAATTTTGTGAATTTTATTCACTACTATTGCCCTTGAACAGTGCCTATAGGTACTTAATACATAATTATTGTTTCAGTTCAAAAATTCCCATCCCCAAAGGCCTAAAGTTTACAGAATAGGGAGAAAGGTTTTGCCTTTTCCTACAGTTATCACACAAAGCACAGGAACATCTTGCTCCCCTGAGGTTTTACTTACCCTGATTCCAGTGCCATTGTCTTGGATCTGAATTAACTTTAGACCTCCCTCTTTAACAACCACTTGAATACTTGTGGATTTTGCATCTAAACTGGTAAATCAAAGAAAGAAAATAATTCATCTTTCTGTAACCACTCTAATGAACGTATTTTCACATGGACCAAACAATAATCAACTCTAAGTAAATATAAGAGTGCTAGATTAATGTTTTTCCTTTGTTTTATAGGCTCAATGGCTACATTATATGAGTTTATACTGAGTAAGAGAGAAGGGCAGAGCAAGTATCATTTCCAAAAGGGCATTCAGCACCACTTCTCTTCTGCTTTAGAAAAAAAGTAGAGACAGAAGTAGGATCTTTTGGCATATACCTCTTACTCTCAACTAACTTCACTATTACTTCAACTTTATTCAACCTCTGGATCTTCCAATAAAATGCCATTTTAAAATTCTAAATGTTTTCCCCTAATCATTACCTTTTCTTTAAGAAAAATATACTTATGATGAAGGAAAGAAAAAAAATGGCATTGCAGAAAGTTCTTTAAGAAGTTAGTAAGTCTTTTGTGCTTTCAAAGAGTAGCCTATAAGCATAGACCAACTCAGAGAAAACAAATTCAGCCTGGGGCTGCATGAGAAAGAGAAGGTAGTGACTAAATGAGAAAATTATTTATGCAAAAATAAGAAAACTTGTTAAATATTAAAGACCTTTCTCAGAACCCAAGCACTGAAGTTGTATTAGCTATCTTAATTTATATATTTAAAAGAGGTTAAATGGATCCCATACAAAAATCTCTTGCAGAATTAATTATAAGCCACTGAGCTAGTTCAGTTTTGTTGTTGTATAGCACATAGGCACAGTACAATAATTGACCCAATTTATTCTGTCAGTTCATTCTAACATTGTAGACGCCAGACTGCATCTGCTAGTATTGTCATGAATCATAAGGAGAAAATATCCGGAGGTTTCCTGCTCCTTTTTTTGTTTACCTTTTAATCATCTTCCTTCCCTTCTGTGATTCTTTCTGGCTCATTATTCTTTTAGTCTCGCTGCCCCGATGATTTATTTTTCACAATGAACCTCACTACAAACCTGCTATTCCTTACCGGAGGATACCCCCCACCAATAATGTGGCTGACATTCCTAAAAGCAACTCATTTTAATACAAAGGATCTGACTTAATGCTTAGGCTTATTATGGGGCTCTTCTTTTTTGAGGTTTACAACCTTACATCCACTTTTCCCCCCACGTTTTAACCTCTTCCCGCCGTAATGCTCGCGACATCTCTAAGCTTCAGAGTCAACGGAAGCTCCATAAAGTCAGGTATCTTCGAAGTGCTTCCCTCCATAAAATGGCAAAAGAGATATTGCAAGTTAAGCCCAAAACCTATTATCCTGTCCTAAAATTCCAATGATTTATTCTGAATGAAACTAAAAAAATAAACTGTCCCTGAGTGGGAATGATTTCTAGAATGGTCAACTGACAATATGGTATCCTCTGAAGAATAAAGATTTTTTTTTCCCACCATAAGCTTGTATACTTTATATCTTTAATTTTGTACTTTCTGCATATATAACTGCAAGCAGTTTCTTTGCTTAAGGGCACTATTAATCAGTACGACATATGCCTCTATAAACAATTCAAATATCCACAAAGGTCTCGCGAGAGCGCTCAGAAAAATCTCGTTTCCAGGGAAGGGAGAAAGCAGGACCTGCGCTAGCCTAAGGTTCCCGTGGCCTCTCCCGCTCGAAGCATGCGCCGTACGCGCTTCCGCCCAGTTAGGGTGGCAGGTCCGCACCATTCACCGGAGCGGTCCGTTAAGTCATAGCCTTTAAGGGAATTTGGCTCGACTCCCACCGTACCAGTTTTCAATCATCTCTTTGATGGCATTAGCAGGCCGCTGGATAACTTCTCCCGCCGCAATGCGGTTCACCACTGTCTCGTCCAGACGCCGAATAACCCCTGCCACAAGCGACATTTTGACGCCAGAGAAGCCTAGATGCCCACCGGAAGTAACTTTAGCCAATCACCTCAGTTCTCGTGCCTACGTTCTACCTTCCCTTCCGGCTTACGACATCCTGCACCACCCTCCAGCGGGAGCTATTGATTGGGCAATTTATATGCCAGTCAACTTTCTTAAAGGCAGGTGTTTCTGGATCTCTTGGTCCCGCCCTAAAGCAGCTAAGGCCCTCCAGCTGGGAGAAGATGAGCTTGCGCGGTAGAGAACACACTATTCGCTTTTCCTATTGGTTCTTCTCCAGGAGCTGCAGAAGAATACGAAATCTCCAGCCAATAGGAAAGGAGCTATCATAGCAAAGGCTGGTATCTTCCTGCTGAGGTGATCTGTCGCAGAGCCTAGGAGGTGCTTTTCTCCTGCCCGGCTCCTCCCCCCTCGTTGTGGCCTCTCTGAGGTTTGCGGTGCTCTTGTGGCTTCCCGCAGAATGTGGATGACGCCCAAAAGGAGCAAGATGGAAGTCGATGAAGCTCTTGTTTTCCGGCCCGAGTGGACCCAGCGCTACTTGGTGGTGGAGCCTCCGGAGGGCAACGGTGCTCTGTGCCTGGTGTGTCACCGCCTGGTCGCTTCTACCCGCGAACGCGATGTCAGGCGCCACTACGAGGCAGAACACGAATTCTACGAGCGGTATGTGACGGAGGAGGAGCGCGCGGCCCTGGTGGAGCGTCTCCGTCAAGGCGATTTGTCGATTGCCGCCATGCTCACTCCTGAGGAGAAAGCTGCGCGTGCAGGCCTTGGGCTCTGCCGCCTGTTGGCTTTGAAGGGCCGCGGCTGGAGTGAGGGGGACTTTGTGTACCAGTGCATGGAGGTATTTCTGAGAGAGGTGCTGCCTGATCACATAGGCGTCCTGGAAGGCATTGATTTATCTCCGGAGATCACAAGGCAGAGAATTCTGAGCATTGACAATAATCTACGCAGTCAGCTTTTTAATCGAGCCAGGAGCTTTAAGGCCTATTCCCTTGCTCTGGATGACCAGGCTTTTGTGGCCTATGAGAACTATCTCCTCGTCTTTATCCGTGGCGTGGACTCTGATTTGGAGGTGCAAGAAGACCTCCTGACCATAATCAACCTGACTCATCACTTCAGTGTTGGTGCGCTCATGTCGGCAATTCTAGAGGCCCTGCAGACAGCAGGACTTAGCTTGCAGCGAATGGTTGGATTGACCACGACTCACACTTTGAGGATGATTGGTGAGAATTCAGGACTTGTCTCTTACATGAGAGAAAAGGCTGTAAGCCCCAACTGTTGGAATGTTATCCACTATTCAGGCTTTCTTCACTTAGAACTATTGAGTTCTTATGATGTAGATGTTAATCAGATCATAAATACCATATCCGAATGGATAGTCATGATTAAGACCAGAGGTGTTAGGCGACCCGAGTTTCAGCCTTTACTGACCGAGTCTGAATCAGAGCATGGCGAAAGGATCAATGGACGATGTCTGAACAACTGGCTCAGAAGAGGGAAAACATTAAAACTGATATTTTCACTAAGAAAAGAGATAGAAGCATTCTTGGTTTCAGTAGGGGCAACAACGGTCCATTTCACAGACAAGCAATGGCTTTGTGACTTTGGCTTCTTGGTGGATATTATGGACCACCTTCGAGAACTCAGTGAAGAATTGCAAATTAGTGGAGTTTTTGCTGCTACTGCCTTTGACCATATCTGTACTTTTGAAGGTAAGCTGAATTTGTTTCAGAGACAAATTGAGGAACAAGATTTAACAGACTTTCCTGCCTTCAGCGAAGTTGTTGATGAGCTTAAACAGCAGTTTAAGGAAGATCAAAAAATATTTGAGCCTGACAGATATCAAATGGTGATCTGTCGTCTACAGAAAGATTTCGAGAGACATTTTAAGGACCTCAGATTCATTAAAAAGGACTTAGAACTTTTTGCAAATCCATTTAACTTTAAGCCTGAATATGCACCTATTTCAGTAAGGGTGGAGCTAACAAAACTTCAGGCAAACACTAACCTTTGGAATGAATACAGAGTCAAAGACTTGGGCCAGTTCTATGCTGGATTGCCTGCTGAATCTTATCCAATTATCAAAGGGGTTGCCTATAAGGTGGCATCCTTATTTGATAGTAACCAAATCTGTGACAAGGCTTTTGCATATTTGACACGAAACCAACACACATTGAGCCAGCCATCAACAGATGAACACCTTCAAGCCCTTTTCCGGGTTGCCACAACTGAAATGGATCCCCGTTGGGATGATCTTATGAGAGAAAGAATTGAATCTAATCCATAAGTCTTTATAGTACAGCGCTGGAACAAGAATACAATTCTAAAAGAAAAAATTTTTTTTTCAAGTTTACTAGTTTGATTTACTGGAAAGCACCAAATTTATTACAAGACATTAAAATGGATCAATATTCAAATCCTTCCAACAGTTGCCTTTTTTTCATCTCATATGGCAGCATGGGACTGAAACATGAGAATTCCACTTCTTTAAACTTAATGGCATAGTCATTGTTTTTTACTTTTTATGGTATAATAGATTTTAAAGAAGTTTAGTGTGAGTTGAATTAGAAGTCTGCTTTTAAGGTGTTCTTAAGATATATGCCAAAAATTTTAGTTCTTTAATATAGTGTTAAAATTCTGATACATAGTCTAAAGTTGTCAACTCCTTAATTGTATTTGAATCAACTTACAAAATCTCATAGCAAGTCACAAGTTTCTGAAAAAAGCATACAAACATAGCGGAGGTATTTTGTCTAACAAAATGTTTGCGACTATTTTTTTAAAGCATTTCTGATTCCAAAGTAAATAGTCACAGATTTTCTCCTCCTCACCTTCTCACCCACCCCACTGATATTACTAATAGGAATTACTCAAAATTTTAATCAGAGGAGGAAAAATTATTTTTAAATTGCTGACTTAGGAGACTTTCTATAGATTGGGGTTTCCTAAACTATCACTATTGGGATTTCCCATGAATTTTTCACAACTAGAGGCTGTTTTATCAGCTTGCTTTTTAAAGGACTATGGTAAGTATAGAATCGTAACTGTTGCCAGTTAGTAATTCTTTTTTCTACTCTGGACAGAAGTTTCACTTTACCAGAAGGGTGAAGAAAAAGATTTTTGTACTTCAGGATCAGGAGGTGTGAGGTACTTTAGCTTGTTTGTCTTTATCTGCATGGCCTTATAAAGAAATCTTGGGTAAAGGAAACACTTTATTTTAAAATGATACAATATCACATTTTGTAAACTGCTGGAAATGGATTTATTCTAGAATTTAAAACTGCTCCATACATGCAATAGTTAAGACAGTGCACAAGTAGAAATATTTCAGTATCAAGAAGCAGCCTTATTTACAGATTGTAGAAATTCTCTATTTCTAGTAAGGCATTGGCTTTGTGCCATAACAGTAATTTAATAATGTTCAGCTTATGTTAGCTGTACAATGCCTAAAATATGAAACTGATTTAAAAATGATACCTAACTTGTAACTTATAGATTCTCAAGTACAGTTTGAAAACTGTTGTGCTACTAAGTCCTGTCTTAACTGTTGTAGCACATTCTACGGTCACTAATCTGGTAAATTTGCAGAACCAGGATACAGCCCAGAATTTAGAAGAACCTAGCTAGTACCTAGCAATCTAAATAGCAGTTGTAAGAGCTTAAGGACCAAAGTTGTATTATGGTTCTCAACCAGAGATAGTTACCCTTGCAGTGAATGCTGGGAAATATTTTTGGGCATCTTACTGGTTGTCATATTTAATTGAGGTGGGGGAGGGTTGTGCTTTTATTTAAACCTAATGATTCCTTCCCCACGCAGTGCACAGGACAGCCTGGCATAATGAAGAATTTTCTCTCCCAAAGTGCCAGTAGACCCCTTTCCCCATGTACATTATCTTTTTTAAAGGGACAGGTCAAATTACCGGTAGAAGATAATTGGAAGGCAAATTTGACAAATTGAGGGAATGCTTGTTAGGAAAGATTAATTGCAACATTTCACTCTGGCTGATAAGGTCAGTAAAAGCCTTGATGGGTCCCAGGAGCTCACAACGGTGTTTATAAATCAGTTTAATATTGAATCAGATTAAGGGGTTCTATCACTTCTTGACTTTTTGGCTAAGATCAAAATTAAGGGGCTCTGTTATAATTAGGGCAGAAAAAATTAGTAGAGAAAGTATGGTTTGATCAGCAAAGATTAAGCTTAAATATCTGAAAAAACAACATAGTGAAAAACTGAAAAAATAATCTACCGGTAATTTCCTGGTAGCTTCAAGTATTGTCTTTCAAAGCAAATGCTTTATTAATTGAAAGATTGGAAGACCTGGAAGCTGTTTCTGCTTTCTAGTTTCTAGTTCCTCAAATATTAAAATCTTGTACATTTTGTGAAGTTCTAGTATGTTTTGCTTAAGATGATATTAAAATTAGTTTATATCATCTAGTCAGTGTGTTGGGGGTGGGTGGTCATATAAGCCAAGGATTTAAAACTTGATCCTCGGCACTGGGGAATTTGCTATAACTAGTCTTGTTTGTAGAAAAAAATAAGTGTATTTTACTGTTTTCTGTATAAAGTAATTTTGTAGCTGCATGAGTCTTTTTTCTTTTAAATATATAGTTATTGATCCTCTTGTATTGGTGAAAATAGTTAAAATAAGTACTATTTTTAAAAACTCAATGTCCTTAACAGTTACTTCACTATATCTCCTATTTCCACTAATTGTCTTGAAAGATTTGCTTTCCCTGTCTCCCATATTGCCACTCAAACTGTTCTACCAAATTCACTTACTACTTGTCAAAATTATTGAAATACTCAATTACTTTATTTTAGCTTTGAGGAAATCATCACCTCCAGCCATGCATCCTCATTCTGTGCAGGCCCCTTTTCCCTTGAGTATCTGTCCTTAAGATTTTACTTTATTGATTTTTTTTCAAGTCTGCCTAATCTTTCTTGCTCTGATCTACCTTGAATTATATTCCAGGCTGATATCATTTTCCCTTATGGCTTCATTTACCACCTATATGCAGATGCTACCAAATTCATATCCCCTTTGTAGATTTTTCTTCCTAAATCATACCTAATTGCTAACATAAATCCACTTATGCATGTTTCACAGGCACTGCAACATGCCATTGATCTTGCCCCAAACCTGCTTTTCCTTTCTTTTTCCCTCTTTCCTTCATAGATGGCACTATCGCTACCAACCATCCAATATCCCTTGCCCAAGCAAAAACGGAGTCAATCTAGTCATGTCACTCTACTGCTTTCACCATTGCTATTAGAATGAAATACAAATTTCTGTTCATCTTTCAGGTCTCAATTTATATGCTGCTTCTTCTAGGAAGCCTTCATTGATGCCCTCTGGACCAGGTGTCCCAACTGTGCAATCCCTATCCTCCCTGTGCTTCCTTAGCCATACACTTAGCACCTGTTACTGCTGCTTATTGATCATTGCTAGAGTAAGCTTTATAAGGGCAGGGACCATAATAAGTCTTGCTCACTGTTATATCTCTAATGCTTAGCACAGTGCCTGACATTTGAGTAAATGTTTGGATAAGTAAATATTTGTGTAGTGTTTTATGATCTTTGAAACTCTTACAGTTTCATTTGACCTTTACAGTGTGTTCACTGGATAGTTCTTAGCCACATATTATAAATTAAGAAGTGAAGCAAAGTTCTTTGTGACTAGGAACCTTGTTATTATATTCCTAGGTTTTAGTGCAGTTGGAATATTGTGAATGTTAAGGAAGCAAACAGACTGCCACTTCCCCTAGTAAACCCAGTTGTACTCACATGCATCTACTTTGTAATATTAAGTACATTAATGACATAATGTCTTAATTTTTTTAATTTCCAAAGGAATCAACATATAGAGAGAAGAGATTGGACAACTATTTAAATTGAACTAAGATAATACTTTAGTAATTAAAAAGTTACATTCAGTATTAGAGAAAGATAATGCCACATACAAGTTAATATCAATTTTTCCTTTTATAGGCATCAACCTTAGGAGAAAATGGCATGTTATTTTCTTGTTACTTTGCTTTACAGCTGATTTCTGACTCTTCTGGAATTTAAAAGTAAGTAAATTTAACAGTTATAAGAAGGATGACTCAGGCCTTCTGATTACTAGATACTCATTTCACTTGCTTTCCTACCTTCAGAATGTCCTCATCATTTCCCCAAGGGAGGTACCCAAATGTGATACCTAATTACTGTGTACTTTTGGATTTGCTACATTTCTTTGCTTTCTTGTTCCCATGCCTCTCCACTTAATTTCTGGTTAACATGGGCCTTTGGGGTTTAAATAAGAGAGCCATACCCATAATCTCTTTTCTTAAATAACTTTTGTCATATCTGAAGCATTAACTATTGTTACACTCTTGATTGGACTTTTTAGTCTGAGGCACATAAACTTTCAGTGATCTTAACAGTAGATGTGACAGTCATCTTTGCTGCAGAACTAGGTTTTAATCTACCTTTGGGTTAAAGGATTTCTAATTTTTATCTTTTAATTGAAAAGTTGTCTCATACATACCCAGTAAATATTTGAAATTATGAATTCTTTATTCTCTTCATTTCTACCTGCAACTTGACAAGTTCCTTTTTGAGTTCATCCTTACATTTTGCCAAATGCAGTCAACAACAACAAAATAATTTTTAAAAGATTTTCTTCAGTAAAGGATAGGTTATCTGCCTTCCTGTTTATCTCAAGGGACAGTTTCACCTCTCTATAATAGAAATTGCCTCTATGTAAGTTGTTTCTTTCATCCTCCAGTAGCAATTTGCTGAATGCCTGCCAACTAAACGCTAAGTCATTGTGTTCAATATTTTAGTTATTTGGTCTGTTTAGAACAGGGAACCAACCAATTCCTGTGTGGGATGGGCTAGGCTACCATGAGGTAACAACTGCAAAATCTTAATACTCAGAGAACTTGTCTATTACAACTTGGCTAAGGTCTACCCTAGGTAAGGAAGGAGTTGCACCTAGAGCCCACAGAAACCTGTCGTGTTTCTAAATAAAGGTTTATTGGAGTACAGTCTTGTCTATTTATGTGTTGTCTATGGCTGCTTTTTCTCTACAATGGTAGAGTTAGGTAGTTTCAATAGAGTAGATATCCCACAATGCCTAAAATAGTTACCTTGTGGCCCTTTATAGAAAAAAGATGACTAGTCCCTGCTCTAAATTGTCCTCATTCTGGGACAAAGGACATAAGAAAGGCAGCAGATAGCATCAAGGCTTGGCTGCTTACTTTGGGAAATGAAAAAAGAAAGTTGGGCAAATAACTTGTAGGTCCTTACAGCCCTTGGCTACACGAAAGTTGAAGGAGTATAAATGATCCCATGCATCGTGGAAGAAAACCAGAAATATTTGGAAGGCAGACACTATCTGTTAACATATTGTATCTCTCCATTTATATAATTTTTCAGTATATTTTTGCTTTTTTGTTCAGATGAAACTTAAAAAGTTTACAAGTATAAGTGTATACCTCAGTGGATTTTTATATATACCCTTGAATGCACTACCCAGATCAAGATAGAAAATATTTGTTATCCCAAGAGGTACTTTATTCCTCTCCCACACAGAGAAAACTGTTATTCTGACCTTTATTGTCATCAGTTAGTTTTGCCTGTTTAAAAATTACATGTAAATGAGATAATTATATGCAGTTTTTTGTTCAGCATTGTCTACGAGAGTAGTCTATGTTGTATGTAGAATCAGTTCATGTTTTACCTGTGTGTAGCATTCCATTATATGACTGTAATACAATTTATTCAGTCTAATGTTGATGGATATTTGGATTGTTTGCAGTTTGTGGTCTTTATGAATAAAGTTATTGTGAAAATTTTTGTGTCTTTCAGTGAACATAGGTACCTATTCCTTTAGTATACTCTTTGGTACCCTACCTCCATATTTCCTTCATGCAGATTTTATTCCACATAGCAAGAGTGATTCTTATGTTAAAAATAAGATAGACAATGCCAGTTCTTCCTTCAAAATCCTCTATGACTTTGTCTAGACATAGTGACATATCCTAGGCTGAGGCAGGGGATTGCAGTTTCAAGGCCTTGTCTCAAAAAAAGGGAAATAGAAGGGCTGGGTATGTACCTCAGTGGTAGCACTCTTGCCTAATATGTGCAAAGCCCTGAATTCAGTCCCTAGTACTTCAAAAACAAAAAACAAAAAAAAACCCACAAAAACTTAAAGTCTTTGTTGTGACCTGTAAGGTCCTGCATAATTCAGACCACTCACTCTTTTCTGTATGAGACACTGCTTATAAATTTGAGGATCAAATTATTTGATTCTGTCCTTAAAGGAGGTTGTAATCAAAGACGTTTTGTTTGTTTTGTTTTGTTTTTGGTGCTGGAGATTGCATGGTAAAAACACTTGCTCTGCCACTGAGCACTTCTAGCCCCAGTGGCTTTGATATAAATCATAACACTGGTTTCTGATTGATTATCCCAAGGAGCAGTAATATTTAATTCCTAGAAGAGATTTAGAGAGTAAAATACAAACCATCCTTGATAAATGTTTTAATGTGTAAGGGCTTATATTTTAGTTTTACTGGTTATAAATTAGACTTTAAATTGGTTATGAATTACTATAATTGCTCAGTTCCATGAAGGATAGGTAGGGGCTGTGAGCTGGGGGTAGAGGCGATAAGAAGGCAGTGGGATAAACAACTAAAATCTTGAGTCGAAAGTAGTCTCAATAACGGACTTTTTTTTTTTTTTTAGTTTTTTTTTTTGAGACAGGGTAGAGACACTATGTAGTTGAGACTGACCTGGAACTCACTATGTAGTCCAGGCTGGTCTCCAACTCACAGTGATCCGAATGCTGGGATTACAGGCGTGTGCCACCACACTTGGCTAATAACAGACTTTCTTAACTGTCCCATTGTTAGTACATCTTTTTATAACTTGATGTGCACTTGAAGTATAAGAAACTACACAATGTAAAGAATAAAGTTTGTTTACAGTAAGTTCATGAATCTACCACAAGACAATACTACTTGCAAAAGTTTGCATTTGCCTTTGACTAATGGGGAAATTTATAATTTAAAGGAGAAAAAAGGACTTCATTGAAAGGAGCTGTCTCAGTTCAGACTGCTGTAAGCCATTATTTCTCAGTTATGGAGAGTAGGGAGTTCAAGATTAAGGTGTCTTAAGATAGTATCTGATGAGCGGCTACTTCCAGTGGTTTACAGATAATCATCTCATTTTATCTTCATGGTGGAGAGCAAAAAGCAAGAACAAGCTCATGGCTTTATAAGTGCACCAGTCCCATCATGAGAGGCCCACCCTTATCACCTAATTGCTTACCAAAAGCCCCGTCTCTTAATATTTCACATTGGGGGTTAGGATTGCAACACTGGAATTTGGCAGGGGACAGACATTCTGTCTATAAAGGAATATTTGGGGATATCTCTCAACCACTGTTACCTACTTTTGCTCCCTGTATCTTTTTCTTAGCATTTTCACAGTCAGCCTCTGTATACCTCCCTGGTTTCTGCAACCTCACTACAGTGCCACTGACTCATTCTGCTTATATGCCAGTTGCATTTTCCTGGGCAGAAACTTGTGGCAGTTCAATTTTAATCTTAGCTCCCTGGAGCCAGGCGTGTAGTGAGGTGAATGGTAGTTATGAAGGGGAGAGTTTCATACTGTTTGGTAGATCTTCCTGGTTGTACACTAATTTGCACCAGCTTAAGAGGAAAAAAAATGTAATGATTAGAGAAATACAGGAGTATCTCATGGAAGCCATGTGAAGGAATTAAGTTCAACAATTGTTAATAAAGGTGCACTAGGCCCAAGTACTGATACGGAACAACAGTACAGCAAAACAAACTTTCCAACCTATGGATCTTGTCATGACCCCTTTGTGTATAACTTTATTATTCTCTCTGAACACAAGCTTCAACTGCTCACTTTTTTTTCATGGGAGAACAGTTGTGATTCTGTGGTTGGGGTGGATAGAGAGGACTATAAGATGGTTTGGGCTAAGCAGGCCCCCCAAAAGCTGTCTTGTTCGGTCATCCTGATGAATGTATTGTCTCATCTTGGGGTTCTCATTGACCCCTCTCAGTCAGAATTTATGGAACTATTAAAAAGTCCACAGATCATTTGTTTCAACTCCTTTACCATGTAAAGAAATTGAGTCCCACAGAAGTGGTTAAGGTTATCCTGAATTACTAAGCAGAACCAGGATAAAAGCCCAATTTTCTGACCTGTTCCTGTCCCATGTTTTCCCCTTTTTGCCATTGCTATCATTACCAGACTGTTCCCATGCGCCACTCATTTTCACAAGCCTGTTTTCATGGTTGAAAGCCTCAGAATCCCCGGTCTTTTCCTTTGGTTCTGGCTGGCAGTGGCTAAGACAGAATATCTCTCTCAGTGACTACACAGAAATTTTAGTAAATTTCATTGAGATCGATATATTGGATATATAATAAAAATACAAAATTTTCAAATTTGATGCATACATTGTGAAATGTTTAAAAAGCACAAATAGTTCTTGTTTCCAGAGAGCCTGAAAAAATTATCTAAAAGTAGAGTTGGTGTTACTTTAATTACTAATAACTTTTCCATTTCAGCCACATCTCTTACATATTTAATCAAATTTCATTTATTTGCTTAGAAAAGTTTCCGTTTAAGTTTTTCAAATATAGCAATTTTGCTTTATCTTCTCTGTATTTGGTTTTATACCCTTCTCTTGTTACTAAAGTTTGGTCTTACTCTTTCCTATCCTCACTACTAAGTGTTTTGCTTTTTTCTGTTTTCTGGTCCTTATCAGAGATTGCTCCTGCACTTATATAATAGTGTTATGTTTCAATTCATTGGTTTCTGCTTTTATTTGACTCATTCTTTTTTGAGGTTGAGTCCTGTTAGTCTGGCCTCGAACTTACTATGTAGCCCAGGCTGGCCTTGAACTCACAGCAATCCTCTTGCCTCAGCCTCCCAAGTGCTGGAATTACAGGCTCATTCTTTATTTTCTTCTCCTTTTTTCCATTAAAATATTTTCTATATCCTCGTATTGAATACTTTCAAATCATTTTTAAAAATTAACCTATTACTCATTGTACATCAAACTCCATAAATTTAAAATAAATTTATTTTAAAATGTTTTCAATAGCACATGTTTGCTATACATAATATTACATTCATTGTGGGAAGCTGGTACATGTATATAACATACTGTATCTTAATTATTTTTACTTCCCATTTCCCTCCTCTTCTCCCTCCACCTCTTGGTCCCCTTCCCCTCTACAAAAGATGTATCTGTCTATTTTCTATTTTCTGACTTGTATCTTGCTCTTTCTATTGTTAGTTCTTTGAGGACTCTCCATTTTATTTCAATAGTGGTTGTATTAGTTTACTTTGCCACCAACAAGGTAGAAAGGTTCCTTTTTCCCCACAGCTTCCCCAATATTTGGTATTATTTTATTTCTTGATGATTGCCATTTTTCTGGAGTAATACAGAATCTCAGTATTGTTTTAATTTGCATTTCTCTAATAACCAGAGATGTGAAACATTTTTTTCATGTATTTATTGGCCATTTGTGCTTCTGAGAATGGTCTATTCATTCCAGTTGCCTATTTTTTGGTTAGATCTTTTATTTGGGACGTGTCTGATTTTTTGGAGTCCTTTCATATTCTAGATGTTAGTCCTCTGTCTGAGGAGTACTGGCAAATTTTTTCCCCATTCTTCCTCTTTTCGGTGTGTTGGTAGTTTCCTTTGTTGTGTAGTAGCTTTTTAATTTGATGTAATTCGGTTTGTTGATGTCATATCTCTGTAGTTGGGGTTCTGTTCAGAAAGTTCTTGCCTACTTCTGTGTCTTCAAGAACTTTACCTGTTTTATTTTCCAGCAGATCGTGTTCCTATTTTAACATTTAGATCTCTGATCGTTTTTTATTTAGGTTTAGTACATGGTGAGATATATGGGTATAGATTAAATCTTCTGCATGTGGGAAGCCAGTTTTCTCAGCACCACTTGTTAGATGCTATTTTTCCTCCAGTGTTTGTTTTTGGCCCTTTTAT